TGGAATTAAAGAAATCAGAGGAGATCAACTGCAAGCAAAAAGTTGCTCCATGGCAGCAACAAAGTCCACTTGCAACATTCAAAAGCCAAAAGAGGCAGAGATTGAAGACGAGGACATGGAGGTCTTAGATGATGTCGGCAAGGAGCCAACCGAAAAGAGTGAAGAGACACTAAAGAAAATCCTAGTCCACGAGGGCAAGGAAGAACGTTTCTTTCTTCTCGGTTCAGGTTTAGCCGAAGAAGAAGAAAAAGAACGGGAAGATTTTTTAAGAGCCAACATTGAAGTGTTCGCCTGGACAACTTATGAAATGCCTGGCATTGACCCCGAGGTCACTTGCCACCGACTGAATGTCGACAGGTCGGCAAAACCTGTAATTCAACGAGCCAGAAGACCGACGTTGATGCACGTCGAAGCAGTAGAAGAAGAAGTAGACAAACTTCTGGAGGCCAGGGCCATCCGAGAAGTTCACTATCCGACATGGTTGTCCAACACAATAGTAGTGAAAAAGAAGAACGGTAAATGGAGAGTCTGTGTAGACTTTACCAGCCTCAACAAAGCCTGCCCCAAAGACAGCTTTCCTCTGCCCAAGATTGACCAGCTAGTAGATGCAACTTCAGGGCACGAAAGGATGAGTTTTTTGGATGCATACAGGGGATACTACTAGATTGCCATGTACCCTCTAGACAAGAAGAAGACTGCATTCATCACCCGTAAAGGCTTGTACTGTTACAAGGTAATGCCTTTTGGGTTGAAAAACGCAGGAGCAACTTACCAAAGGTTAGTAACAAAGATGTTCAAGCACCTGATTGGCAAAACGGTAGAAGTCTACATCGATGACATGGTCGTGAAGACCAAGGAATCTAAGGGTCATCTTGCCAACCTAAAAGAGGTCTTTGATATATTCAAAACATACCAGCTCCGACTCAACGCATCAAAATACGCGTTTGGAGTTGGATCAGGTAAGTTTTTAGGGTATCTGGTAACAAGAAAGGGCATTGAGGCCAGCCCAGACCAAATCAAGGCCATCCTAGAGCTGCAGAGCCCGACGTCGGCGAAACAGGTTCAGATGCTTACTGGAAGGGCCGCAGCCCTAAACAGATTCATCAAGGGCCGCAGCTCTAAATAGGTTCATAAGTCGAAGCTCAGACAAATGTAAACCTTTTTTCAACCTGGTAAAGAAGGCCATAGACTTCCTATGGACTGAGGAATGTGAGGCCGCCTTGGCCGACCTAAAGAAGTATCTGACCACGGCTCCAATCCTCTCAACACCTGAACCTGGAGAAGAACTGTTTTTGTACTTAGCCGTTTCAGAGCATGCAATAAGTGCGGTATTAATTCGTGAAGAAAAAGGGGAGCAAAAGGCTGTTTACTATGTAAGCAGAACCTTAGCCGATGCAGAAACAAGGTATCTACCCTTGGAAAAATTAATGCTGGCCTTAGTAATGGCTTCAAAGAAGTTGAACCATTATTTTCAGGCGCACAAGATTGTGGTCCTAACAGAGCACCCACTGAAGTCCTTGTTGCAACAAGGAGACTTAACAGGAAGGATAGCAAGATGGGCAGTGGCCCTGGGCCAATATGACCTGGAGTTCAGGCCGAGAACAGCAATAAAGGGCCAAGTTTTGGCCGACTTCGTGGCAGAATTCACTCCAGTAACCATGGAACATCGGGCTCCGTTGAGCCGAGATGAGCAGCATCCCAGCAAGCAAGGAGAAGCCCGGCCAAAGGCAAAAGAACAAAGGAAGGAAAAACTTAGACCCTGCAGCATCTACATCGGCAATTCATTCAGACTTTTCGTCGATAGAAGTTCAAACCGTCAAGGAGCGGGGGCAGGAGTACTGCTGATATCTCCTGATGGAGAAATAATAGAACAGTCCATCCGTTTGGGGTTCAAGGCCTCAAACAATGAAGCGGAGTACGAAGCATTAATTGCAGGGCTAAAACTAGCAGCAGCAGCAGAAGCAGAAGCAGATGAGGTAATAGTCTTTTGTGATTCACAACTTATTGTTAACCAGTCAACAGGTGAATTTGCAGCCAGGGATGAAAGGATGTCGGCATATGCAAAAGAGGTCATTAGATTAGCAACCCTATTTCAGAACTACCGACTACTCCAGGTTAGCCGAGATGACAATACCCATGCCGACGCGTTGGCTTACCTGGCAAGTTCAATTCAGACTGGAAAAACAAGAACAATTATGATCGACTACATGTCGGGACCGAGCATAGGACCAGAGAGCAGAAAGCAGCAAGCAATGTGTGTGGACATGGGGCCAAGCTGGATGGATGCAATTGTCGCATTCCTGAAAGAAGGAAAGTTGCCAGAAGATCGTAAGGAAGCACACAAAGTCAGATTGAAATCTGCAAGATTCTGTCTAACAGAAGATGGACATCTTTACAGAAGATCCTTCACTGGACCCCTTTTAAGGTGCGTACACCCTTTGCAGGTTGAAGATTTCCTCTATGAAATCCATGAAGGAATTTGTGGAAGCCACGCTGGGGGCAGATCATTAGCCCACAGGGCCATTACCCAGGGGTATTGGTGGCCCTACATGCAAAAGGATGCTGAAGCCTACGTAAAGAAGTGTGAACAATGCCAAAGGTATGCACCTTTGATACATCAGCCAACTGCTGACCTGAACCCAGTATCCAGCCCTTGGCCGTTCGCCCAATGGGGCATGGATTTGGTTGGGTAACTTCCCCAGGCAACTGGGCAAAGAAAATACTTGCTGGTAGCAACAGACTACTTTACAAAGTGGATAGAGGCAGAACCTCTTGCCAAAATTCGAGATGTGAACGTCAAGAACTTTATATGGAGAAACATCATCACCAGATTTGGGATTCCAAGAGCAATAGTTGCCGACAACGGAACACAGTTTGACAGCAAACTCATCAAGAACTTTTGTGTGAAATTCAAGATCAAGAATTACTTTTCAACACCAAGTTTTCCCCAAAGTAATGGGCAAGCAGAAGCATCCAACAAAGTAATTCTGGATGGAATAAAGAAAAGGCTGCAGGCAGCAAAAGGAAAGTGGGTAGACGAATTGCCCAACGTGCTTTGGGCTTATCGGACTACGCCGATAAGATCAACAGGGGAATCCCCCTTTGCCATGGCTTATGGCACAGAAGCAGTCATCCCATTAGAGATCGGCATCCCAGGGATCAGAACCCAGGGAGTAGAGAATGGCACCAA